TATAGTTAATTACAATGTGTTTTTTAAAAAATGGTGGTTTTCGGCAAAAGTCCCTCAAGCGAGACTTCCTTTGTCTTTTCTCAATCATTAAAACTGTAAATGCTCAATTTAAAAGAATCCCATCGATTATTATAATCCCTTTCAGCATATATGTATATTTGTCTGAATTGGGAAAGCGCAAAGAAACTTTGAAATGGGCCCAGAGTTTTAATCCACAGATTAATCGTGATCTGCGGAACTGCGGTTTACTTATTGCGCCACGATTCCCAAATATCCTGGCGCATATCGCGGATCAAGTCTAATCAGGCTCCTTAAGTTAACTATAATCCCAGCTTAATCACTGGATCAGTAGCTAAGCAACATTTTCCGGGATGGAAATGAGCGAATTACCTGCTCAGGTCAACTGATCTTACCAACTGATTTAACTTAATCCAGGACATCAACATTTCTTCTTGCGTTGCCATAAAATGCATTTTGCTTCAATTTACTTTTTTCTTTCCAGACTTTTACCTCTTTTAAACAGCTGGGACTTGGATTGGGATAGAAAAAACATGTAACATCTACCTTCAGAAACGGATTAAATTTTTTCAGACAAATAATCCAGTCTTAAGCATGGTGATTACGCTTGATCCCCTGCAAAGGGGCGTAATATTGACGGATTTTCCTTAAATCCCTCTGTTAATCTCCGGCTTAAAGCGCGGGCGCGAATTTTTTCGCGACTCGGCCTGCTTTGTTTTTTCATTTCCTTCAATTCGCAAGAAGACAGGCCTCTGGGCCGAAGGAGGATCATAATTATGGAATTCCTAAATACACTAAGCAGGGCAGACGGCACAGCAAGGAATTGTTCTACCTGTAAGAATGGGTTCCTTCTTTGCTCTTGAAACCGAGATTCGCTGCAAGTCACAGGTAGCCAGAAACCAGTCTTGGGTTTGTCGGCAATTAAGAAGTCAAATTTTACTTAAAAACAACAAAAAATAAGCATTGGAAAAACAATGCAAAAATATGCAAAAACTAAACTAAATCCGGATTAGGAATGTCTCATGCCGAAGGGTCTTTGCATCATAAACAAGGCTGTGTTCAATTTTCGATCATTTGCATGCCACCCCTAGCATCGTAAACGAATTCGCCGCATCGGTTGTCCATAACCGTCGCCTATCTCTTTCTATCTTACACCTTTAATATGCTTGACATGACTTTTTTACAAAGTGCCTTACTTTTTTACAAGGAAGTACTTGTGTACTTCCGTTTTTTACTATTTTTTATTATTAGTCATTCTACCTGTGATTTTATGGGGGTGTTTATAGACGTTTTTTAATGCTTGAACCTGTTTCTGAATGAGGCTAGTTTTGCAAAATATGATTTTTTGTTCAAAAACTATATCTGTTATGTGTACTATTATATACTTTCTTTGGTCGTAATTGTTGCACTTAAAATTAGTTTGCCATCGTAGCAAAGAGCTAAAGTGCACGTACTCTTAGCGAATGTTTAATCCCCGGGTAATTATTTTCATGGTCACTTGCATCAAGTCGAAAAGAATTTTTTAGCATAATTTTATAGATAAAGTTAACTTTAAACTTAACTATTATAAAATAATTTTACATTTAAATCCTTGATCATTTATTGGACATTTTTCAATTATATTTATAATTTCTGATGGCAGCTGCGCATATTTAAAACATAAGCACGTTTTGACCAGCTTGACAGATATTTTCGAAAGTAGAGAATTGTCCATACGTTATTATGTATTAACTTAAGATTTGCCTTAGAAAAGAAAACACATGCCAAAATGTCTCAAAGACGTACAATTTTTTCGATAAGGTAAAAGTAAATTATACGTTTTTTTTTAAATAAAATGGCCCTGAATTGTTACATTTTCCTGAGGTTCCTAATCCTTAAAGGAAATCTACCGCGATCAGATTAGGAAATCCCAAGTTCCCGATTACCCAAAGCCGCTCACTGACGGATAACTCATTCAAGAATGCTTGTTAGAGATCTTTTTTAACCCTTGCACTTGATATGATCCTCAATATACACATACGTCTGGCGTGCGCTTGGCATGCGATTAGGTTCCTCCTCTTTAAATTCATATAAAATATATGCCGATAGCTCTCAGTACGCGTGCCGCGTTAATTCCGAGTCCGTAAAAAAACGTTAAATCTTCCTTAAGGGGTGATGCTGAAGACCTACGAAGAACGGAGATCAGAGTGGGATGTTTCTAACTTCAAGAAAAATTGAGTTTTATTAAATAGCCAAACTGAAATATCCAAGATTTGTTAAATAATCTAGGTCGGCCTTAACATTTTGGTAATCCAAGTTTCTGCAATAATAATCACAGCTTTAAAAGATCGAGTATTTCCCTAAGGGTCGACTGAAAGGGGTTTTCCATCGCATTAAAACTAAGATTTGAATAGGTTTAAGCCCTAACCATGCCGGTTTAAGATTGCGCAGTTTCCATCCGCGGATTAGGATTGATGATTAGCCGGTGGCTAAAGATAAGTAAGAAGAAGAACAATTTCAATCTTGGTATAGATACTAGAACAAAGGATTACTAATAAATCACGGGCCCATAATGAATTTCACATACTGTGTCTGTTTGTTTAACGCTTAGTAAGTGCATGTGTAGTAAGTGCATGTGACAACCACCTTTAATGGTCCTATCGTTTAAACCCGAATGTCGATAAATCAGGAAACAAACCCTACAAAAAATGAAACAAAAATCGATCGAGTGTTACAAATTGCTAAAAAATTGTGGGCACACTTATGGGTTATGAAACAATTAAAGAACCCCTATCCAACAACCCTTAGGGATGCAGGAGTGGCTTCGATGCCTTAAGCCTTTACTTTATATTTTATTTTGGATTTTAACTCTTTTTATAGAAAAATTGCCTCTTTGCTCACAGCCCTCGTTTTCATCCCATATATTTTTTGAAATCTTCTTTTATAAAATATAGTTTTTACTTTTGTTTGCCTTACAAGTATTGCTTGTTTAGAAGCGACGAGGGTTAATATAATTTCTTTAAATGAAACTAGAGTCTTTTAAGATAACTGTGGTATCAGTTGACATCAACTATAATATACTTATTCAAATTTTTGAGAGAAATTGCCAGTATTACAGTATTAATGAGTCGGATTTGTTAACCCAGGTTAGTTTCCCCAACTTGGACCTTATCAACGGACTCGACCGTACGCACTTTTTCTACACACTACTGCCCCACTTAGGCCTACATATAAGTTGTTTAGCACGTGTGAAAGTCGTTGTTGAACGATTTTGGTCTGCCTTGCGAATCTAAATCTAGACAAATTTGGTTTTGCTTGTGATAATATTCTCGATTACTTATTGTCGACAATGTTAAAAGAGATAAGGCCCGGATCTTGTTAAAATCAGTTGAGGTCAAGCTGTTGTTCCAATATCAAGCTACACCCGGCTTATCAAGCAAACAAACCAAAAATTTTTCTGACTAATACCCGAAACCTGTGAGGATGTGAGGGAAGCGGTAAGAAACGGCAGAAATTCTTATCAATAAGGTCAGTTTTGGGTGCTTGAATCTTGTTTAATGCCTTCTGCGAATTTTATTTTTGTGAAAATCTTTCGCTGAAGTCAACCGTGCTCATTCGATGACACAAACTATTCGAATTTTACGTAACATTATGCAGAGCAAGGATTTGCGTGTCCCATTCGGCTATTGTTTGGTTTTACTTTCGAAAAATCCACGGTAGTTCGCACTAACCGCCTGCCGAGTTTTGCGCGTCCTTGGCCTACCTAGGAAACCCAGCGTACCGATCTAGACCCATTTTCAACATAAGTTCAGCGCAGCATGTCCTTGCCATAAAAATCTACATAAAACCATTTAAAAGTCAATCCGCAAAAGTCACCGAGAACTTCCATGCAAGCAAAAAATAATGATGTTCCAACTATTTGTGAGGCTGCTTTTTTATGAGGCTTGCCTAGGTTTCTTTCTACCTGAATGTGTTTTTTACTAGTTCCTTATTTACTATTTGTTTTTTAGTCGTGTGCCAATAATTAGTTACCCATTAAACCGAACTTCAACTTCTTTGTGAGGTTGCTCAACAGGCTGCCAAAAAACATAAAAAAACTCACTCAGACTATTTTCAAAAATTTCTCGGTCTCTTTTCCTGCTTTGGGGGGACCTCGTCAGGCTGATGTATTGTTTACTTCCTGTTCACTCTTACAGCGCACGCTTGAATTTCAACCCCTCCCTGCATCTCTTTTCCTGACTTTTGGCTCTTTCGCTCTCACGGATGTCCTTTCGCCCAGTTCTCCTTTGGAGTTCATCCCCTTCGCAAGCTGAGTTATTTTCCACAGTGCTCGCATGTGTAAAGGGGCAATGGCCAAGGCACATCCGAGTGAGTTATTTAGGTGAGTCCTGGTTACATGTTTCCAAATAAGTCCCCATCTGATCCTTGTTCCTCTTCAAATTTACTTCTAGTGCACTTTTTATGAAGGCTCTAAAAAACACAAGCGGAAGTGGTCATAAGTTTTTTATGTCCCTTCATGGGCAACACATAGTTTTGATTTTTTATGTTTTATGACGGACAAAAAACGCAGAGGTCATAAAAGTCTGCAGTGAGCTAACTAAAGATATTTTTCGTTATTCGACATCTCTTGTTTTAAATAATGAACCGATTGTGGGACTGGAGTCAGATATGGCTTCCACATAGAACTGTGTCAGCGGCTGTCTCTTTCCCACCAATTTGCATACGAAAAATCAGCACTTCTAGGTAAAAAAGAAACCGATGAAAATAACTCAACTAAACGGAGTGCCCAGTTTTTAATTTACCTGCTTCGGGTCTGGGGATCGGTTTTCGCCGTCGCCGTGATGCTTTCTCTTCCTTTCTGCACCCGTCTTCCATGCGTGTGAGCGGGAGAGCGAATTGAGTGCGTGGATCTGAGCCAGTGTGCGTGCCCGCGAGGGTGAGTGAGACTCTTTCGCCGAGGCGAAGCGTACTTATAGTTAGCGCACGCAGCGAATTTGTATCAGTCGTGATTTGGCTCTTTCAGTGAGAGGAACATCCATTTGTTGTGCCACACACAAACGCGAATAAAACAAACCCAATCAAATTAAAACTACCTCATTTTGCAAATCGGTAAACTTTTTAATAAAGGAAAAATCAGTGAAAACACTCTACCTCAAAGTACAAAAGTGCGTGAAAGAAATATTTCATATCCTGAAAAGTGCATAAGTTGCTCAAATGAAAATTTGTTGTCTATGATTTTATAACTAAACAACTTATTAAGCGAATCGTAAAAGTGTATTTGCTTTGGTGAAGAGGAAATCGAAAGGAACAAATACAGAAACAACGTATTGATGGTCATATCGATGCTTCAAGACGCACAGACAAGAAGTATGTATAAGCAAAGATTAAAACAAATTCTTTCTCATTTATTACTGCCTGGAAGAACTTTTTTTTACAATCATCAATCGTTCGAACCTTTAACACTCGTTCCCTGTATATAAACTTCGAAAACGAAAACTGAAACTCTAAAATTTGGCAGTCGGTGTCCAAATGTATTGAAGTTGCTGGCAAAAGCCATTTTTACCTATGCACACAATCGATACAATTAACACATTTATATAAATTGGGCTTTGTTTACAAGTTTAGCGAGGAACCGGCACCTAACTCGTTACCCACCAAAACAAATGCTAGAGAGCCCCAAACAGAGAGGAGCCCAAAGAGAACAAAGAGTATAAAGCATTCTCTCGCACATGTAACATATGTGAAATTCTTTGCTCTTATTAATGTTTGCTCTTACCGAGAGACTATTTCTGCATTTAAATATTCAAAGTTCCGAAAGCTCCCACTCCTATTAACACATATTTGACCTGTTGTAAACAGTAAACTAACTTATGTTTTATTATTTTTTTAGACTTAGCTGCTGCATTAGCTGGCATTAAACGAGAGGAAGCCGCTGTTGATCGATCCATGTCCTTATCGCCCCCAATGTCGGCCAACACATCAGCTACCAGCGCCGCAGCAATGTACCCAGCCATGGGTCTCCAACAGGCGGCCGCTGCCTCAGCTTTTAGAATGCTTTCGCCCACTCAACTCCTGGCTGCGAACCGTCAGGCTGCCGCTTTTATGGCTCAGCTGCCCATGAGCACTTTAGCCAACACTTTGTTCCCACACAATCCGGCGGCTTTGTTCGGAGCTTGGGCAGCCCAGCAGTCGCTACCGCCCCAGGGCACGCATTTGCATTCTCCGCCAGCCAGCCCCCACTCGCCAGTATCAACGCCCTTGGGCAGTGGCAAGCATCCACTGAGTTCGCCCAACAGCACGCCCCAGCACCACGAGCCAGCGAAGAAGGCCCGCAAACTGTCGGTAAAAAAAGAGTTCCAGACGGAAATCAGCATGAGTGTAAACGATCTGTACCACACAACGGGTGGACCTATTTCTCCGCCTTCCAGCGGAAGTTCTCCCAATTCCACACACGAGGGTACAGGTGGAAACGCTGGAGGAGGTGCTGCCTCCAAGGATCCATCGCGGGACAAGAGCTTCACCTGCAAAATCTGCTCGCGCAGCTTTGGCTACAAGCACGTCCTCCAGAACCATGAGCGCACACATACCGGTGAGAAGCCTTTTGAATGCCCGGAATGTCACAAACGGTTTACCCGCGACCATCATCTAAAAACTCATATGCGTCTGCATACTGGAGAGAAGCCATACCATTGCTCGCACTGCGATCGTCAGTTCGTTCAGGTGGCCAATCTTAGACGGCATTTGCGGGTTCATACTGGAGAGCGTCCCTATACTTGCGAAATCTGCGACGGCAAATTTAGTGACTCCAATCAGCTGAAGTCCCACATGCTGGTCCACAATGGCGAAAAGCCGTTCGAGTGCGAACGTTGCCACATGAAGTTCCGACGGCGCCATCATGTGATGAATCACAAGTGCGGCATCCAGTCACCGCCTACTCCGGCCCTGTCACCAGCTATGAGTGGAGATTATCCCATGGCGGTCACCGCAATGGCTCTTGAGTCATCTACCAATAAATTCGCTGCAATGTGCGCCAGCTATGGAGGTTCGGAAGAGTCGGTTGACTTGGAAAAAGGTACTATGGAAGACGATGCCCCATTGGATTTGTCTGAGGATGGAGCCAGCTCCGTAGACGGCCATTGTAGCAACAGCATCGCGAGACGCAAGGCCCAGGATATTCGCAGAGTATTTCGCCTACCGCCTCCTCAAATCCCTCATGTTCCCAGTGATATGCCCGAACAAACCGAACCTGAGGACTTAAGCATGCACTCGCCCCGATCTGTAGGATCTCAAGAACAACCCGAAGAAATTGACTTGGATGATTTGGATGACGCCGCTGCCCTCTATCTGCGCCAGCATCATCATTAGACCAGTCCAACACCGACGTGTACATAGCCAGTGATTAGTTTTCATTAGATGAAAGAAAGTGGCTGGCAACGATCCACACAAAATTGAAAATTTTGCCATTTCAAAGTGGATAGTCAAAAGTTTTGCAACAGGAATTTAATGCTTAGTACAAGTAACTAAAAATCAACTTCATATAAGATTTTAAAGAAATAATAGCATATTGATCAAAACACAAAAAAAACACAAAAGTTGTACAAAATTAGCTAAATATGCCATAAGCCTATCGCCCTTTATCGCCAAACCCCACCAAATCGAATCGAAAATGTCGTGCCATTCTTAACATCTCATTTAAGTTGTATCTTTAGGTTTATCAAAACCCTTAAATTGTATATACCCAGCTTATGCAGCTGCCAATTGTAAATTATTCGGCGCTCCAAAAATTGTATTACAAAATTATAAGACACAAAACAAAAAACATAAAGTCTATCGAATGTTTTTAATTAATATGTTAGCTTATTTTAATATAATTTAATAAAATTCTTAAAGAAAGCAATGCCAATAACCATGAAATCAAAATAAACTTTAAGTTAATAAATACAAATTTTTAAGCTACTTGTTCTGTTTGCCAATTATATTAAAAACTATTTTTTAATTAGTTAGCCCATAATAACTGAAAAAATCTAAAATAAATATTTAATTTTATATACAAGTTTATTTTATATTTAGTTACATATTTGCTTGCATGCAATTGAAAAATAAATTTATTTAAAAACTTGAAATGTATTATTTTTTATTATTTGGTTGGATTGTTTTGGAATGTAATATTCCATAATTAAAACTGCTGGCGCTGTTAAACTTCATATTCTTCCATTTTTAAAACGTAGTTTTGTTTAAACTGTAAGTAACTTTTCAAAACTTTTCGAAACCATACCCTTAAAAAACATATGGCTCAATGCGTAACCACATTTGGATGTTAATCATATGTTAAGAATAATTATAATTGTAAGATTTGAACCAAGTAAACAGGAAGAAAATGCTATAACCAAATACCTCCAATACCTCTTTTTATCGAAATTGTTGTGAGCTGAAAAGTATATACATACAACAATTTGGCAATCGTAAAATTCAACTGAATTTATATACAACATTAAAAAAAATTAAAAAGCTAAGCCAAAGCTAAGCGTACTTTTGATGAATATTTTAAAGGAACCTAAAATTAAAAACGATATTCATATATAAGATGAGTTTGAAGTAAGTGTAAATACTTTCTATGGTAATAAATAAGAATATTATATTGTACATAACTAAATAAACTTACACTACATAATAATTTTAGTGCAATCTTTGGTTCAATTCATCGGTAAGCAAACAAACTTGCCGATGCGCCCTTTGTTGTACGTTCGAAAGTCTTAAAAATGCAACAAATGTTATGTAATTTTCTTTGTTCATTCAAGTGTATGGTATACAAGTTCCTCAAGATTAAAAGATTACAAAAATAATAAAATCAGATAGCAAGCGCATTTCAAGTTTTCTGAAATTCGCGCTTTGCCCGAAAGACCTCCAAATATTTCATATTGATTGTGTACATTAATAATCGACACTAAAATGTAGTATGTTTAAATCGTTAGATGTAATTAAATATTTAGAGATACCAAGTCAATTTTAATGTAAATAAACAAAATTCGATTTATGCAACATTCTAGCAGCAGCTCAAATTATGCAATGTAACCAAGAAAACGAAAAACTATGCCGAAATCTGAATTAATTTCTCATATTTACCGACATATATACCTTGTGCAATGCATCAGTAAAACCAGTAAAGATAAATTAGAAAAATTATAATAACTTAAACGAATACACTAGTAATGATTGTTAGAACATAATAAATAAGAAGAGCTGTCAGATTTTGTCATAATAATTTTTAGTTTAATGTTACTGGCTTTTAAACGCCAATTTTATGTATATGCTTAACCAATACGTATAAATACTTATAATTATTTATTAATTTAAAGCTAAACAAAATTATATTATGTTAAAACAAACAAATTGTACGCCAGCGAAACTAAATAATATATATATATATATATATGTATATACAAAATTGTGTTAAAGAAACGAACGAAAATTTTTTACCAATCAGTCAAGAAACCACCACCCCGCAGGAAAATTAGCCAAAGCTTTTTCTTTTTTTCCAAAGGCGACAACGGGCAGCATTACATAAATTTTTAATTTATGCAAACGAAGCCCTTTCGCATTATTTTACATTTGCCACAAGACGCCCCACTAATGCTGTCGCCACCCCCTACTGCCTAACCCAGCCCTTCACCGGAATTTGAATTTGCGTCTGAAGGCAGGAGCAGCTGAGCAGAAAAAAATTTAAAAAACGCGCCGCGCAGCCAGAAAATGTCACAGTGTTTTTCCCCATTTAATCTCCAGTGAGAGAGCAAACAACTACAACGCTATGAAGAAAAGGCGAGACCTCCCACTCATCCCATACCTCCCAACCAACTCTCATTCAACCTTCCAGCGAAACTGACGCCTCCACTTCTTTGTGCCCCTTTCAACAGCCAAAAAAGGCTTCATCCTGGCAGCCCCCTATATATAAAATGGCAGCATGTACAAGTATTATATAAAGGGCGTCTTATGTACAAAGGTCTAGAAGAGAGAGAGGAAGGAAAAAGTCGCGTACTGCGCTGCTTATTAGCATTTTAGCCTTTATTCGTTTGGAGCTCCGTGAGCGTTTTCAGCATACACGTAAAAAATAAGCTGGGGCGAGATAGTAACTTAATTCGCATTTTTATACCCTTGCATAGGATTTTATAAATTCAGTCGAAATTTGTATATATATTATTGATCAGCACTACTGGAAGAGTTAATCTAACCATGTCCGTCCGTCCGACCGTTTCTACGCAAACAAGACTTTAAAGTTATCTGAATGGAACTTTACCAACAAATTGCCTTTCTGTTGCAAGTAGGGAGAAAATAGGTTACCAAATTACAAATTAAGCTGGCAGACGGACAGTCAGACGGAAATGGCTAGTGATGAAAATCAAGAATATATATACTTTCTGGCTGAAAGGGTATAAGATATAAAAAAAAATGTTAGCTTCTCTATGTTTTACTTTACTTTACGAAGTTTGCTTTGCTTTCTTGTTTTAAATAGGTTTTTGTTTGCAACAATTTACTAATCATTCATAATATGTGTGACAAAAATATAATTTATAATGATTACAGTTTTTGTAAGTGCAGGCATTCATGCCGCATTCTCACCCTCTACCACTTCATCTTTTTTTTAGCTTTCGAGTAAATAATTTGGATTTGGGGGCAGATATTTTTTTTCTCAAATGAGTTTACGAGTGTTTGGCTGTTAGGATTTTTTTGTGCTCTTACCGCAAAGAAAACCCAAGAAAATAAAAGGAACTCAAAAAAAATCTAAAGGCTTCGCTGGCAACGAACTGCCGACGCAGCCAACTGCTGTTCATTATTCAAATTGAAAAATTATGATTTTTACCCGCAATTCGACTAGTCCGAGAATGAGAATGGGGACGAAGACACGCAATGTCTAAGATTGGCTCCCAATCAAGCGGAGCATTATAATAAGCTCCCGAAAGGAAGTTGGAGGTTAGGATGAAAATATGGAAAGGGTCTTAGAGACAGCATATTCATTCGTTCTGTATCTTTTGGTCATTTGTCCGGTTTTAAGTTAAGAAATGGTCCTTAATCTTTTATACCTAATAACATTTTCATAAACTGTTATTTTGATTTATTATTTATTTCAATACAATTTATTTTGCTTTCCCCATAATTCTCTGTTGCTCCTAATAACTAAATGTTACAAAAAAACCATTGTAATTGTAAAAAAAGTGATAAAAGTGTGTTTACTTATTTTGGCATGGAAAACATAGCGAGGAGGAATTTAGTCAGCGACGATAATGAAATACTAAAATCTTTAAATATTAAATAAAAATATGGTAAATTATTGTTGCTTTTTATACCCTTGCGAGGGTATTATAATTTCAGTAAGAAGTTTGCAACGCAGTGAAGGAGACACCTCCGACCCTATAAAGTACATATATTATGGATTTTACATTCCCTTCTTTAGATAGGTAATCTTTCCTAAGAATTGAGTCACATTTAGTTACGGATTTTAAAAAGATCCTGCCAGAGCCAAAACTGCAAACAATAGTTGCATGAAGTTCCGTCACAAGAGATTTTAAAAAAGGGAAGAAATCATGTGCACCATATGGCTATTTCTACCCCCGCCGCGCCAGGCAGGGCACGCAAATTTTGGCAAACACAGGATCGGGACCAAGATCGACACTCTGAGACAATATTTAAAACTGAGTTTACGCTGCATGGTACCAATGGTGAAAGTATACAGGTTGGCTCAAAGATTTGCACAGCGAGTTGAGTACCTCAGAAAGCAGGCTCATTATAATTTACATTTCGACCTCTACTAATTTCGCTGGAGTTTACGAGATTGGCTCCTTTTCTTGTCGAGCAATACACGTAGCAGAAGTGAGAAAAGCAAAATTACGATTGAAAAAAAAAAATAAAAAACAACCCTCTCGAACAGAACAGCAGCGGCTGGGAAGGGAAGCGGCGTCAACAGCAAGGATAACGAAAAACTCATTTGCATACGAAGTGCTTTCGCTTTCTCTTTCAACCCCTCTCGCCACCTTCGTTGTTTTGAAGCATGGCGGCAATAGGCCACCTGCGTCTGTCGGAAAGAGAGATTGCCAAATCTTGCGTCCCTGTTGCACCTTTGCTTTCATCAAAGAGTTTAATGCTGGAACAAGGCAGTCATAACCAGGGAATGGGAGAAAGTATGGCGTGGGACAAAGCTCTTTGGTCTTCGGCTGACTCGCTTTCATTGCTGCTCATTATTAAGCAGCGAGCGTTAAACTCATTGAGACGTTTTGCATCTCCGCTCCCCGCACCCTGCACCCTGCACCCCTTGGGCAAAGCTTTTCCACGCAGCAGCTCTCAGTGGTTTCTCAGACTCATTTTACATTTATCTTTTTCATTTTGGTCTCTCTGAAGTTCAAGATAAGCTATGTAAAAGCAAAAAGACATTTTTGTTAGAAGAAAATTACAAACAACCCCTTTGGAATTAGAAGCAGAGGAAAGACAAAAACTGCTAGAGCTCAGGAAGTGGGAAAAAAGTCAGCGTTAAAGCTATAGAAATGAGAGTATATTATTCATGGAATTAATGTCGTAAATAGAAAGGATAGGAGAGCAATGAGAGCAAATCTTCTCATGGGATTTGGAAACATTCATTTAAACTAATTGGGGTGAGTATATAGAGCAAAGTGCGATACCGATTATGTAAGTTGTCATCTATAATTGAGGCATATAATAGAATATAGTACCAAGAAAACACCGGATTCCCACACTTCTAAGCTATTTACCCCATATATTATTTTTAACCTGCAACCTCTCTGCAACATAACATATCGGCCAAATAACCATAACGTCAGTTCTATGATAAAAGTACTGATGATTGC